GATTATAGGATTTTGCCATGGAAATTTTTCCCACCGCAACACGGCCATTCGTTCTCATGAACCTGCACATGAGATCCAGATAAGGTGGTGGGTAAGAATCCATTCTTTTTGTTCTCTCTCATGGTAAGGTTTTTCAGGATGTGTGAATAAACACCATATCCGACTGAGAGACACACGGCTTTTGTCATTAATTTACCATTGTGAGGCTCACTTGTATCGCCATAGCAACCACATCTTTGAGGTTGATAGTTTTCCGCCTTGTTTCTCTTGCAAGCAACCTCCTCTCTGCCGGCAAAGACGAATTCTCTACCTTCCTGTGGTGCTAGTGTAGTCGCTCAGTATGCCCTGTATATCTGGGATAGCCAAGAAGAATCGCATCCGAATAGAAGTCGAAAGCAAATACATGCATATCTCCATTTGACAACTTCTCAATTATGCTGCATTCACCATTATCCTCTGAGTCCTCAACCTCTTTTTAACCACATATCACCTCGCATCAACGACCAATAAAGACGTCACTCCGATTGCAAACAGGAGCTTGCCTCATTTATTACAATCCATCACTCACTACATATTTACGATGCTACGTATATCCGCAAGGAGGAAATGAAGTCATAATATACAAAGTTGGGGTCTTGGTTTATGAAGGACTGATGCTCTAATGGGCTCATACATCTTGAGGAAGGACAGGCGGCTGAGATGTGGAGCGAGAGAGGAAACAGGCCTCTGAATACCATGCTGGGACTGATATTTTCGAGTGGTTTTCAACTCTAGAACGTTTGTGGGCGCCAAGACTGAGATTTCGGCTCATTAGCCAGGAGGACTTCAAAAGTCGATTAGTCAACGGCATTCCCCAGTGTCCTAGACAGCACAAATGAAGTTTGGATAAGCTACCATACAGCAATCATGCTCTGTCAAGACTTTTCAGACATTTCAGCACGACCTTGGGGAAGGAGGCTCGAAAGGCAGAGGTTGAATTTCCCGAGGTACCTACAAGTCTACAGCGCCCAGCTGGCCGGCCTCTTCGAACGCATCAGAAGGATCACTATGTCTTGAGATTTAGTCCTAATGTCGGTATTAGAAGAGCCCCGTATCCAGTGGTTTTTGTGATTTTTCCCGGCTGCCATACGCTCGCAAATGGCCATCGTTTCGTTGGCTGGAGAGGGGAGATAATGAAGGGCAGAGGGCTCCTCTCAGTGTATGATCGAATGAGGACTTGTGAGGGGTGGTACTGTTTGAGGGGAGCTATATGGGAGGTATAGGAGGGGATATACTGCTGGTATAGGCATCCTTGGCTCCAGGCAAAGAGGACCTGCATGTCCTATATAGTCATAGACTCGGAAAAGACAATAAAATGGATTAATTATAATAACCCCCCTCCTGTTGGTCTGATTTTTGCAAGACTATTTAGCGTCAGAATTTGTAGATGATCCAGTCGATTCGGTGGGTTCTTCGGAATTTCATCGAAAATATTTAGGATTCTTTCGAGTATTATCACGGGTATATGATATTGATTGGAACTTATGGATCAGCGTAGACTCTAATATTGTGCCCGCTCTCCCCAAAATCTGTGGCGTGAACTATTTGAGGACCTCTACCTGGCTCGTTCAGCTTTGTAGTCATGAGGCGGCAGGTGTCCGCAGTCGCCGACACTTCCTATAATACCCACATGCCGTGACGGCCATTAGGCCGAATGTTTCCTCTAGCCTGCGCTAGCCAGCGTAGGCGTGACGGTTTCAGTCGAAAATGTATGGGCCATCTTGTAAGTGCAGTACACTGATTATGATTCTCTGGAGAGGGAATTCCTCTAAAGACTACATATATACATTCTAAATTTCTGCCCTTGGAGAAGATTCTCTCTCCCGAGAATGACAATTGATATACGGTACGCACAAGAGTGCCCATGCATTTTTACTGGAGCCGTGACGCCGGCAGAGAGGTTCAAAGAAGCAACACGAAAGCGACGGGAAGACGCCGGTTTGGGTGATTGAGGTGATGAAAGCCTCCCCTCGGCTTCGATTCCGAGGAGACCTGACGACGTCCGCCAAGGTTCTCGACGTGTGATTTATTACTCGCAAGTCGAAATTACCGAAGCGGCGCGGGAAATTCAAATTTCGACTGCGCAGTGTGACTTTGGACGCGGCGACTGTTTTTCTGGGGGATGGCTCCGGACCGGTCGTGAGCCGTTTGCATGTAGAGTCTGGTCGGCCCGGGCCTTCCGCGTGCTTGAGGCTTTGCTTCTAGGCGGGCCACGGGCGAAGTCGGCAGAGTGTGGCTAGACGGAATTAGACTTCGAGTCGACTTGCACCCAGCATACCAATCACGAGCTTTGAGGGACGCGACCCATGTCATTTCACAGTTTCGCACAGGCGTTCGGATAGAGTAGACATAGCGTTTTTCTGCTCCACCGAAGCATCGAGCCCTAAATTCCTCTTTTGTCTCGGACATTGCGATAAGATTTCCGAGAGATCGATTTGAAGCTTGGTATCCATGTTAGACTTAGTTTCTGCGAAGATTGCCGCTGCATACCTCACGCGGAGGTCAGGGCACGAAGAGTAGGTGTTGATGTGGGGGCGGTAAATGAAATTGGAGGTGAAGAAGCTTGAGATTTTGTGCCGAGCTAGCTCTAAGTATGATTCCACGATATCCCGTCAGCCAAATCAATCTCTCTCTTCCAAAGATATTAATCCCCACCGAAGCCTCATCAAGCGTTCAAGTACGACCTATTACAGCCTCATTTCAATGACAACACCTCTCATCCACTCTTTCTCTGGGCTCGGCTGGCCACCAACTACACGCTCACGCCGATAATCATGACCGCCGGAGGAAAAAAAGCGTGGCGCGCAAATCTAGGAGGCAGCTCTTTGGGATGGACGTGAGAGAGATCGGACAAGTCTACAAAATGATGCCAAGGAAGGATACAATCTCGACTGGCGTGAGATTTAGAGATTTGGCAAGGAGGTTTACAAATTAAAGAGCGTTGTGCGCTGCACTCCTTTGAGTACGGGGGTGAAGATGACACCAATAACACAAGCCAACGATTAAAGGTTCCGTAGTCGGCCTGCTGGTGGTGATCTTCAGTAAAGCCTGAGTAGCCCGAGCACTCACTCCACCCGGGAGAGAGAAGACGGAGATCACGTTTTGCGCGGAGACAAGTCGATGGATGATGGGGGCATGTCTGGACAACCGACGAAAACTTGAAACTTCGCCGTGAGGGTGTTCACGGATGAGGCCTGACTCGGGGCGAAGGAGAATCCTCCTCACCTTCGCAGTGGTACTAGCAAATGGAGTGCGAGGCATGAGTGCTCTTCTTGTATATGGAGTCATTTTTCCTGGACCTCTTCTCCCATATGGTCTCATAGCTCGATAGCTGCACACGCAATGAAAATCTGATGCAAAAACAAATAGCAAATGGAATTGAGGCATATTTTCTCTACTCAGCCTCTAATGTTTTGTCACAGCTAGATTACTGAACACGGCCGCAAAAGGCGGAGACAGGACAAAAGTGACAACCCTGACGCCTCAATTTACCGACGCCTCTCAACCCGCCAACCCCATGCGTATTCGTGGGGTGTGCACTTAGCCGGTGCACATGCACCAGCGATGAGCAGGACATAGCACAGCACGTCGAATGGGCAGAACTTTACATTACTTCAGATACTCCATACGAATCCCCGCTGAGCCCGAAGGTTGCGTCTCGTATATGTTATGTCAAGGGCTTGGGACTGTGGGAGGTATCGTGGGAGAGACTACTCTAAAACCAACACGTTCAAATGACGCATAGTCATGGGGCCAGCCGTCGCGGTTCCCGACAAGATGCATGGGGGTCTGTGACTCAATTTGGCCGCTTCCTGATGATTTTGATTCAAAATTTGGCTCAGCCTGCTCTCAAGTTTAGTGTCAATTTTCCGGCCGTTTCTGACGATACTAACTGGAATTAAATTCGCTTTTTGCGGCATGAAATGGTCGATCTATTATCTTCCAGTCGACCCACCTGCTCTCTATTTTGGGTTTCAGACAATGTTTAATTTCAACTATATATTCCACATTGAGCTGACAGGTTCATTCTCGGGTGATAGAGGCTAAGTGTGGGTCTTTAATCATGAATATTACTACAATGGTTTCGATACATCACACATTTGGAGAGTGCTTGTAGCTGCACGAGCCAAATTTCCATCAGCGGAGCTTTGAAGTTAAGAGGATGAGCTTTTGTCGAAGTTGTAGTCTAGGATTACAAACGAAAGTACAAGTGAAATTCATGGCCTGTAATGCCAGAGCTAGAGATTTGATTCATCAAAACTTATCCTGATGTAACAACATATGACATCTTTTTAAAAATCTCATCTCATGTGATTCTATTAAATAAGTCATGGTTTACTGAAAGTTTATGAGGCTTCATGCATCTGTGGAAGCTAAATGAATTATAAACCTCGTAGACAGAGATGACGGGCCACAATTGAGGTTTGTGATTCGGTAGATTGACATTAGGATCCTCGACAAGTCCAAGTCAGATTTCCAAGCGCATGTGGCGCTGGGAGGTAGGAGCGTTAGACTGATATATTCAATCTTAAGCCTGATGACTGAGGTGAACTACATCCTTGTCTGACGAAGAAATCATACTTTCTTCCTGATCTTGTCAACGAGAGTCTTACCTCCTTTCCCGGGCCTCTTTCTGCGATGTGGGAGAGGTTATTTCCAGTCCTCTGGTCCAGACATCGAGCGGTCGTATCATTATGAAATTAAACCTCTACCTGTATGTAGCCAGCTAGGTATCTTCAAGATGCTAGGATTTATCCAACTTGTTCAAAAGATTTCCGAGCCACCGTAAAATTCTCGTGTGGTTCGGACCTCTGTGTTGTAGAGTAGATGTTAGTTTAGATGTTGTCATCTAGACGTTGATCGGGATTTTCACCAGTCGTGTTTATCTTATGATTCCACATCCAGCCTTTTTCAGGTTTTGGCTACTCATCTCCCGAGCATCAAGTCGTGCCAAGATCGCTTCAATCGTAATCACCTTTTTTGGGCTCATCAGCGCCCATTGATTGCTGAATAGGGGACGAGGCAATCGTGTTTTGTCGAGCTAATCGCTTTTCTACCAAATAAGCCTGACTGATAGATTCTGATGTAAAGGGTTCTTCAATTACATGGTTTTGGAATGGATCATCTCTGTGATCCAAGGCTAAGCTTTTATTGTTTCCCAGTCCATCATGCGTCGTAATTTCGTATCCATCATTGTCATATCTCTGTCTTGCAGGAACATAAGACCCAGCGTGAAGGGCACGTGAGTTTGTACGTGTAGCTGGGCTGAAACCGGAATTGTTGATGACGACGTTCCGGGATGGCCTACGGGGTCCCATGGGTGCCAGGGAGTTTTGTCGACTATGTTGGGGCTCAAGTGACATCTCGGTGTGAAGATGAAGATCCGTTTCGCTGCTCTTTAGCGGTCCGTTTGTGTCGCGCTGTTTGTGGCCTACCAGGAGCCAGGGTATTGCACGCGCGAATCCTTTGACGAGATCCCAGGGATTCATAGCATCAGCTAGTGCTAACAGGCCTGCCGGACCTCCTTGATTGGGGCCAACGATGATTGTTATTGCTTCGTCATTTGGGTTACTGATGGTACTAGGCTCAGAGACATAGGGTTTGTAAGAAAAGGCAAAAAGGTGGAGTATAGAGAAAACAGCCATTTCGATGCATAGCAGCAGGGATGGAATGCCAACTTTAAGATCCGGGTAGCTGATTGTCGGATTGGGCTTGATGGCTTGAAAAGCCTCAGAAGTGAGGATACTGATCAAAAAGGTCTGCCAGAAAGAGAGAAAAATGACTAGTTTGATAGCCAGTACTTTAATGAATGGTTTTTGGGCTACGAGCTCGGCACTTAGCTGAATGTAGAATTGGACAATGCAGTACATGGCTATAGTGACAGCTGAACCTTCAATTACTAGGACCTGGTACTGTTAGAGGAGTTATGGCAGCTTCGGGTAACATACCCAGATGTGTGCAAAGACTGGTGAGTGAGATGATTCGCAGAATCTTCCGTAGTACTGTGTCACTACTGCCACGATTGTCATGGCAACTCGGATAAAGCAGTATTGGTAAACGCCGGACCAGATTATGTTGAACCAAGTAAGACCATTTCTAGGTGTTCTCCAGACTCGGATACAGCATAATTTGAACCAGTCTACCGGCCATACCCAGTCTTTAGGCTCAATACTGCGAAAGTATTTCTTCTGTTCGTGTAGGTTTGGGGCGATGTAATGACAGAGTAAAGCAAAAAAAGAGGCGATAGCGAAAGCTTCGTAACAATCGGATAAAACTTGAAAGTAGATTGCGTGCCAGTAGAACATGAAAGAGAGAAGAGCTGACGTTGAGTAAATTGGAACCATGAATAGGATTCGAATGATGCTATGGTAACGAGGGTTAGCACGAGTACGAAGTCTAGGCTAGATGTAGCGTACTGTCGTTGTTCGTTTGGCTTGGTGTAATGAGTGGCATGCATGAATATTAGATACAAAGAGGTCATGATAGCGATCGCAGCAGCTGAAGCGGCAACAATCACACCCAGATCATGAAAGCTCAGATTTCCGATGAGTGCCACTTCAGAGCCGCCGACTGCTTTAAATTAGCATTATTTGGCATTCTTGATGAGAAGCTTGCTTACTTCGCATAACTTCTAGTGTCGTATTGCACGTCTGGTTGGAGGTGAGCTCCATCGTGGCAGCTTGTTGGTGGTGGGTGCCTCGTCTAGAAAAAGTGCCAACGACCTTTGTCCAGAGCGATGGAGATATAATGATTCTTCCCTGCTGAGGTGCTGGTGCACAGGGCCTACCAAGCCCTGTTTGTCCGAAATGGAATTCCACAACTCGCGCGCTGAGCGTTTCACGGGAAGCCTGATTAACCCCTCGTCTCGAACTGCGATGTCCCAAGCTTTAGAGTATAATCGCTTTCATGAAGTCGTCGCGAGTGGTAGCTGGAGCAATCTTGGTCTTGCCTAGTTTGTAGAGGAGCCCGTGGAACTCCAATTGATTAGGTGGCGAAGATTTCCAGCGACCTGTGGGAAATGATGATGGTAGTATGCATGGTGGTGGAGGGCTGGAGATGATGGTAGCTAGTCGTCGAAGATTTGTGTGTTAGGGTCCTGCCGGTTGTAGCAGGGATCCCGGTCCCCTGATTAGTTTCACAAGAGATAAAGATTTAGCTCCCCTCGGCCAAGTTGATGAGAAGTCGGAGGTGGAGAGACATGTCATAATAATGTCGGGCCAGGCCATCATCTACTCTTACGGGTTTTCTTCAGGCCCGCTTACATTTGCCCAATACCACTAGAGGCCGGTTTAAACCAGCAAAATAACATGAGTTTCTCTAGTCTTCAAGATTTGGCCAAGTCCTCCCCCCCTTTTGCACGGCCCTACCGCTCACTGACATATCACGCGATGGAGACGCGGTAGAATCGACGGGCTGCCAGCGACCATTTTTTCCATTAACAAATGCGTCTAGCTGGTTGAGTGTTCCCTGCACCGACCGAAGCCAGCACTTGCATTTTCCGTGGTCTTTGCGATGACTGCTACCGAGTGGGATTCAATCGCTATACATGCCGTTCGCTTTGCTTCCCATTTCCGGGCCATCAAAGTAATTACGTAAGTGGATGCGCAATTGTGGGTGTTTTGTTGCAACTCTTTTGACATGATACGAAATAAGATTCCGACTCCCGTCGCTCTCTCTCCACACAAGTGAGCTAGAGCCGGCATTCAAAGTCAATTCAGGGCACTAACTCGGCGGTAGACAGCGTATGATGGCAGATGACGCCGGCATGGACGCATCACTGAACTCAAGGACGATGAGCTGAACGAGGTCAAGGAGAGACGGGAGAGACAAAAACTTGCCAGGGTTGGTCGAAGCGAAAGCGTCGATCAATCGACGCCCCAGTATGGCTCATGCAACTGCTAGGAAAAGGTCACATGCTCTAGGCGAGGGCCAAATGGGTGTGTAAACGGGGCGAACGGAAGGGCACAGAAAGCACGGGTTTGATACCAGCAATGGAATATGGAATGCACGCGAGGGGGCTCCAGCTTCAAGATTCCAGTAATGATGGACATAAGCATCCAGTCTATTTCCTCCCATCGACTGAGCAAGACGCACTGCACAGGGGCATGCATCGTCACTGCGACGTTAATCATGAAAACAGTAACAGTGTAGGGAGTTGCTGGTGTTACTCGCTGCTACGAGTCTAGTGCCCCTTGTCGCCTCGGTGTCGCCTCGGTGTCGCGACGGGACATGTAAATCCGTAGGCAAACAAATAATAGATGGCTATCCGCCGAAGGGGGGGTCACGAAGTGGTGAGAACAGCAATCCAAATAGTCACAGAGGCTATGTCTTGCATCAAATGCAGAGGCTGACTCATTCAAGTAGAAAGTATGACACAGCTGATGCTGGTCAGGAGCACGCAAATAGCTCGCGAACACGCTCTGTGAGATGGATAGTCTTGTGGTATGCCATCTAGGAGCATCTCTTGTACCAAGCCGTTACCACGTCCACAAATCTGGATAAAGGTAGCTGACAATCCTCGTCGGTACAAAAAAAAAACGTCGAAGCGCAGAGCATCAGGTTAGGGCTGCCCATATCTCATGCTGATTATGTTTTCCAAACTCGTAACCGTCCAGTCACTTCAAGAAGACCCCGTAGATATAGACCTTGGCTAATTCGCAAAAGTACTCGGATCGATATCATTGTATTCACATCGTTCCATGCCTGATACGACAGGGATACAGATTACGACACCATTTTCTTGCGGGAGGCTGCCACAATACACTTAGCATAAAATAGACAAATAGTCTCTGGTCCAAATGCCAGAATAATAATTGAGGGTAAATTCTACCTTTTTTACTGTACATTTTGTATGAGAGACGACACTAGTAGCCCCACTATTTGAGCCTCACCGCGTGAGAAGTGACAAAAGATTTTCTCTGGAGTTCATTGTCCGATCAGCTTGGAGTTAGTAAATGTCAATAAGAGGGAAAAATCGGGTTAAGGGTGTTCAGCCGTGAGTCAGTAGTGGTGGTAGTGATTACTCAAGAGGTGCGGGAGGATGTCTCATGGTAGCAATTGATGGCTACAGCCAGCAGCCGCAAACATGACTTACAGCCAAGAGTAAGTTGAAAACGCTCAGCGCGCACTTTGAAGCCGTTGCCTGTGGCGATAATCTGAGCAATTTCAAGAGGCTTCTCCCCCACCTTCACCTGCATCAGCGAAATGTCTCAACCCACGGCCCATGGTAGTGCCAAGTCAACGGCCGGTAAAATGGTCAATCTAGTTTTCATGGGGTTCAGAGACCGAAAGCTTGCTGGAAGCTTTAGTGGAGAGGGGCTGCAGAGGAAGCCTGCACACTCTTTACTCGTGCGCCTCAAACCAAACGCCCGCACATTTACGCTTACACAGGGGAGTGCTACGCGTGACAAATGCGCTTCCCACACGAGCCACTCCTCGGAGACGCGCTCCCTACGATTTCTTGCCTACAATAGACCTCTCTGAACTCGGGTGAGTCCATGGCTACGCCAGCGCAGGGGAAGTCAAGGAAAATTGGGCCGCATCGTCTCAGGGTTCAGGGGAGTAGCCAGCCGAGGTGCAGCGAAGCCACGTCGCCTGCTTTCTTTTCCAGAATGGATATCTTGGTCGTGTCTGCTACCACGGCTAAGAATAGGATGAGGCCTCACCTTGCTGCCCTTTACCGTCGTCCACAGCAGTGGGCCGTCGTAATGCAGACCAATACCTCTGAGGTGATGATAGAGACGAGAGAAATGATCCTACAAAAACTTCTGCATCACTGCTCATGACCTTGGTATAGGCCCCTCCCGAGCCGAACACCAATGTGGGCCGCACTTCCCCCGAGCAGGCGAAGCGAATAGTTAGGCCAAGGGCAAGACTGAACAACTGTACGCGGTGTCTTCTACGAACCTTGGATTGAAATATTCTCCCAGGGCCAAGTTCATTAAAATTTCGCAATACTCAAAAAGTTGGCCCACGGCGCAACGATTCAAATTACTCAACCACGTCGTTTTTTCGCTCCCAACGAGTTTGACTTCTACCTAAGTCTCACCTAGTCTTCAAGAACGATCAAGTACATCCGCATCCCAATGACCACACCTCTCGTCGACTTTCTCTGGCCTCAGCTGGTCGCCAAATATACGCCCACGCCGATATTTCTACCTGACAAAGGAAGCAAAGCGTGGCGCACAAATCTGGGAGATAGTTCTTTGGGATCAGCTTGAGAGGGATCAGGACAAGTTCACCAGATGATGCAAAGGAAGGATATAACTTCGATAGGCGTGGAATTTTGGATTTTTGGCAAAAGAATCCGCATCTAGCTTTGTGCGCGCCAAGACTTCGCTTGCGAGATTAGATTTCATTACAGTCCTATCTGAGTCTATGATTATGGATGATTCCTAGAATCTACATGAGATACTAGCTATATTCTCATATTCAAATTGGATATATAGTTCTTTTTAACTGATTTGGCGCCTTGAGGCCCATGCAGGTTTTCATCGGAAGATATGTACTTTAAGTAGGACGACTCAATTTGACTTTTAGAACACTCACACTCAGATCTCATTTGCAGATACCACTCGAGGTTAACCCTTACGGCGTATAACCTCTTCCGTGCATACCCACCACAGGGAAAAGCGTAAAAAACATGTGGCTATCCGAGTGTTCTTTCATCATCCCACAAGTACAATATCACTGCGAGAGAGTGTGGTGTGTGTGTTTTACTGGACTCAAACCAGCTTTCTTCTGTCTCAAATGGGGTAGGTATTCAAGCTATCTAGTACCTACTCGGGAGAGCGGCCCGGATGATGTACCACTGCACCATCCAACCCTATTTGCAAGTACTACGACGTTGTGGCGGCATTATAATTGCCCCAAGTCAACCCTCATCCGTGAATGCCCACCGAGAGAAACATCTTAAAAATGCTGAGTTATCCAGATATGCCTCCATCTACTGAATTTTCTCCGCGAAGATTATGGTCTGAGGCGTCTCCTTCCCAAGTGGAATTGGTGCCTAGGCTACTCAAACTATACCGGAGAACACCACCAGGAGGCGGACTACGGCACCTTCCATCGTCGGCTTGTTTTTATGGTGTCAGCTGCACTCTGGCAAGCGAGTCCCTCACTGTCTATGAGAGCAAAGTTAGAAACTATCCAATTTGAATGGGTTGGATGGTGCAGTGGTACACCATCCGGGCCGTCCTCCCAGGTAGATACTGGGTAGCTCGAAACCCACCTCATTTGAGACAGGAGAAAGCTGGTTCGAGTCCAGTAAAACCCACACACCACTCTCTCTCGCCGTGATATTATACTTGTGGGATGATGAAAGCACACTCGGATAGCCACAGATTTTCCACGCTTTTCCCTGTGGTGGGTATGCTCGGAAGAGGTTATACGCCGTAAGGGTTAACCTCGAGTGGTATCTGCAAATGAAATCTGAGTGTGAGTGTTCTAAAGGTCGAAATGAGCCGCTCTATATGAATTTCCAACATCAGCCTCAAGCCGCCAAAGCAGGAAAACTGAAAACGCTCCCAAATATCACTCCACACAACGGTTCATATTCGTCGCTATCATTTTAGAGCTTTCTAGAGATACTTTGATCATATAACACTCTTCCAACACGTCGCATAGAAGCAGCTAGTTGAATGCAGTTCAAATTCAGCGTTTTGTCATAAATCCGTACAGATGTTCCATTTAACACCAAGTTGTTTTATACCTGTTTATCACGGATGAGAGAGGCTCATGGTTTTAAGTCTATTAGGTTGCTCGGGATGTGAACAGGACGTCTGTTTACATATCGCGAACTTGACTATTTGGTCTCAAGATAAAATCAAAAATATTCTCAGCTCTAAAATAGTCTGCGACAAGTACAACTAGCTCCAGCTGCATAGCCATCTGCTAGATGTCCTGTCGCGTTTTATCCTTGTGTGATGGGCCATACTTTCTTTCGACCTGATATCCACCTCTAGACCTAGAATTTCGGCAGGGCTGGTTCTTCATACCATAGTCATGCTCTATTGGTGATGAATACCTATAAATTTTATGTATCAGAAGATGCTGGTCACTCAAGCGGGAGAAAACTTTTCAACTGTAAATTTTAATCATTGCAATTTTAACTGGCCCCGCTCGGTTCCGACTCCACCAGGATTGGGCGTATTTCAATCGTCTCGAAGATCAAAAAAAAAGCACTGTACAAGAAATCCATCAAAAAGTGAGAGGCAACAGCCCTCTTTGGTACCCTGAGCCTTCCACTTCCTACCATGACTACGCCTCTATACCCCTTTTTTCCCTTGTCTCAGAAACCGGCAGATACGGATTCATCTGCTACAACAGGCCGACTAGCCTAAAAAGGCAAAAGATCAAAATGAACAACTTTAATCATCTCCAGGAGATTTGTGGTCGCCGTGATGATAGGGAATCCAGGTTAGAATCTTTTGATAGAGGGCACAATCTAGAGCCCAGATGCCAAGTTATTGGGGAACACGATGGTATTGGGTGAGCCGGTAGAGTCTTCAAGAGTCCACGCCGAGGAATTGGTGTATTGTCGTGTGAGTTTTGCAGGGAGGTGTCGATTTCCCATGCTTTCTGTGGCTCTCATACTATAATTCAGATTTGTTGCAGTACATGACATTTTTCTAAATCCCCGCGTTGCTCTTTCCGTATTTAATAAGGCATTTTTTGGAATCACCCGCTCCATTCTTATATGCGACGGCAGCAAGTGTTCTACCTTTGTCAAGAATGATAAATGATTTAAAAGCTATTCATGTCAGCTGATATTGAGAGAGATTGTGTCTGGCTAAAGCTGCTCACGTGATTTGAGTTTGAAACTAGATCTGAGCTCTCGGATCGGCTTCTGGTAGTAAGGACCATCTTTTGCAGACATGATGCCAATATAATTTCCTTTATATATCATTTTTTCCTTGGTGGCTGGTGCCGCGTTCTTTAACTCAGTCGAGAATTTCTTGACTAATCTGTCTATTCTGGATCTTGAATAATTCTTCGTCCCACAAACATATTTCACTGTATCACCAAAGCGAATACTAAAGACGGTTGAAATCAGCATAATCTGCATGAAGATGAGAAGAAGGGGCGTTTTTTTCAAATGAGTGTAAAGCATAATGAGTGTTGCTTGGGTTGTTGGCCAATTGATTGCGTACTACATTGACTATTTATGCCAACGTCTTTGCCTCTCTCTCCACATGAAGTATCGCGATGTTTGTCTCTTGACAAATTCCTCTCGCAGCCATGGCCATGTCAATATTGGAGGACTGTTGTTTCTGATATCCATGATACCCCAGCCTCATCTTATCCACGTGTGGATCTTGTCGTTTACTACTCATGCTGTTTGTGGCAGGCTCCAATCGGTTGTGACACAGCTCTCGTTATCCTGAGTCTCATCTCTAGATTATCGTATTGTGCGAGGAGCCGGGTCCATGTAACACGTCCTTGACCATGAGGCAGGGCCTTGGTCGTTGGAACCGATGGCAGAATAAGTGCGAATAGCAGGCAAGTCACTAGCCCCATGCCGCCTCTCGGTGTAGTCAAACAAGGCAACGTTGAACGTGTACTTTTCATGAGAAATTTTTGTCAGTTACAGTCATAGAATGTACTCGGAAGCACGCGCCCTACAAAGCTATTGGATAGTTAGTAGTGACGAATGTGACACTTTAGTTAAGGTTGTTTCAAATTGAAATATCCGGTGACGAGTCATGACATCTCGGATAATTTCAAAGTTGAGTACGACATGTATGAGGAAAGAATTGAAGGGGTACGAAGAGATACGAAGGGAACAGGTTTGAATTCTACAAAACCATCATTTACTGGATGGTATATGATTTCTCCTACGAAATATCGAGCATGGTAAATTGCATTTGTGGGTTATGAGACGGGCAGAAGGAAGCGTCCGAAAAGCAAAACTTTGACTCCGAATAGTTACCAAAGCGAAGTACCAGAGTGGTACGATTGAAACAACGAGGACTGTATGAAACCAATGCGAAGAGGAAGTTCATTAGCAGCTTACTGGCTACTAGAGGTGTCAATCTTTACAAATGGGATTTACTGTTGTCCTATTATGTTGCCCAGCAAGGCCGAATGATAGAATAACATTCAAGTCTCTACTGAGTCTATGAATATGTGGAGCTGCCAAATGTATCTAAATAACTTCATAACTTAGTAGTTGTTTAAAGTTGGCTTGTTTGATATTTACTAACAGATACTGAGGCTCAGGTCCTCTGGCCAAGTGATTGTTGATGACAAAAGCAACACTGAAGGTGACTGTCGGAATATAAAATGAGTCAATTTGGATTAAGTTCTTCGTTTGTCTCATGGAACATGGGAAGTGACTTAGTAGTGATACGCTGGATTCAAACTATCTTCTTGGGTGTACCATCTTTGTCGACAGTCTCTCGCCGCTTACTTTCCATAGTCAGACCGCACTTGGCTTAGAGCGCGCACGCCGAGTTACGTGAGCATCAACCGGCGCTGTCTCCGCATCCAGAACAGAGAGAGCTTAGTCAGGATTGTCTGTGCAGATGCGTTGAATAAGCCGGGTATAAAGCAAAGAGAGAGTGGGGTGTGGCGCAATGGTATGCCATCAGGGACAGTGTCGCTGAAAGGTTGTCTGCCGCCGCGTCTCCCATGGGGCGATGAGACCGGAACAAATTTCCCTAGTGCTTCCGTGAACCTAGAAGATAGATATTCTCTCAGAGGCCCGGATTGCGTGGCGACATGGGGTTTGTTTGCGAGTTTCCGACGAGATGGAGGCCAGGGGGTGTGGTGATGATTCACGTTGGCTCCGGGGCCTGAGCTACACGCGTTTCAAGACGGCGCAATCTGCCAGCCCCGATCATTTGCAACCCACTCACGAGCTGCTCATGTGCCGGGCGTCGAGTCCCGGCAGCAAACATCCTCTAGATGTTTCCGATCGTATCAACTTCTGGCCAACTAGGGCCCGCTTCAGTGGTAGTGGACTAACCTCTGGACACACTCAACCTTGTCACATCTTCTGAGGGGATGTGTTTTGCATTAGATTTTAGTTGCGTATGTAGCTATCTGGCTATGACACAATATCGGAGAAAAAAGGCCCGAAAAGATGATCCAACATACAAACAAAGCATTCATGCCCCAGATTTCAGTTCAAGCACCACTGACTCCTGGGTGTAGGGCTTAGCTTACTACGTTTAATTGTCCGAATCCATATACCCCATGCACGAACTCCAGATTGGCCCAAACCTATGCAATGTTCGTCTTTCAAACAACTGATACCCTTCGAACTTGGTTTCGTTATCTGTTTAGGCTGCATGGGCCCATGTAGGTGTTTACGAACTGTAATATTTACATGGGAGGAAACTGCTGGAGAAAACCCCCCGGACTTTTCTGTCTGTTGTAGTTTGGGAAGTGCTATCATTCTCAAGTGCCATCCATGTACGCTACCCAAATCCCCTCTATATACCCCAAGAATTCCTCGCCCTGTCCCTTTCCCTTGGTAGTCTTTCAACTACCTTTGTAATTTGGAATTTCTTTATCCAACAACAATTTAGGACCCGCCATGTAATTCTTTATTGTTACCCGTATTTTATAATGGATTCGTAGGACCGATCCTTGTCTCGTCTCCAAATCTCTCCTCTAAAATCTGACGATCGAGGGCAGGACATGACCATGTACTCGGGGCTCTAAAATTGGTAGCCACACGGCGAGATTGGGATGTAGATTCCGAGTGTTTTTCTATTTAAATGAGAGTGTGCCTCAAGTCCTCACTTCGAATGTGCGCGGCTAGACATCTTTGGGCCCCTATCAGGTCACGGTGGAGAAAAAAGGCGATTCCTTGACGCCTGTTCTCCACCATTCTCACTGTCGGCTTCAATAGAGCTCAGCTGCTCTCCAGGTTCCGGGGACAGCAGTAGGAGGCTATCGAGTCTGTCGTATTTGCCTCGGAACATTTCTTCGTGACGGGCTCAAGCCTAGCATTCATAGAGCTTGACATAGAGAAGGATAATTCTTCCCCGACGACTATAGACGATAACAACTCAGTTCGAAAATTGGACAGCTCGTGTAGTGGGTGCATTCGGTAATACCAATATAGACTTTTGTGCTAAGGACTCCCACGCGTGTCTCAACCGTGAATATCCTCCAAAATGAAAACAGGAAAAACTTTTGGCTACTATAATATGCTTTTGCTATCTTATAAAGCTGCCGCGCGAGATACAGCCTCACAGTCATCCTTCTCGAGTGAGGTAGGCTTCCAGGCTACCTAGAATTTAATTCTGAGAGATGAAGACCAGGAGACGGACCAAAACACCTTCCATCGTTGCTTGTTTTTAGAGCGTCGGTTACACTATTCGAAATCGTTGCCTCTGCGCCCACATACACTCTTAACTCGAAAACACTCGAAAAATATACGTCGCAGCATGTCCATTTGTGACCTCTTCACTCGTTCGTCCCACGTCCCAGCTGCCTGTCATCCCTCAAGATATGAAGCCCCATTAGAGCAACGGTCCCCCATAGACCAAGACCCGAGCTTTGAAGATTATGACTTAATTTCCTCCTCGCAGGTAAACATAGCATCGTAATTTGTTGATGAGGTAAATTCCCGATTGCAATTAGAGTATCGCCATTATCGATATTTTGGGCGAGGTGGTATAATAAGATGGAAGAAGAGGACTGGCGTGAGAATTGTAGGCCCGACATTGAAAAGTCGTCAATTTTAGAAATGCTTGAGGTTGCTTTCGACTTCAATTCAGTTGCGATTCTTCTTGGCTATCCCAGATATGCAGAGCGTACTGAGCGATTACACCGGCACCACTGGAAGGTGAGGAATTATTCTTTCTCCTGCCATCAACACTGGTACGTAGGCTGGTAAATGCAGCCTGGAGTAGTTTTGTAAGTTGCGATTTAATCTTGAAATTGAGGCATGGGAAGCATGAACCTCATCTACATCAGATTTTGGACAACTTGGTTTCCATCTGGCTTCTGCATTAACTCCCCTGGTATCTACTGGAATCTGCTTGTTCTTTGTAGGCACAAGCTTCAAAGGTCTGTCTAGATATACTTCGCTGTTGCTGGATTACCTAGTAAAACGAACATTCTTTCGCCATTAAATACCTTGATCAATGCCCCTCGGCGTGCGGGATTGCTCCTAGTATCTCAGCAGAGTATACATCAGAAATATGTAGAACTCATCGTGACATTCAGGAATATTTCCCTCTTGTCACAAGAAGTATCTCTGGGAGGCGTGACCATAGCGGCTTCACATAAATGGGAAATAAATATTGATAATTGTTCTGTGTGATATCATCAAAGTGAGTATACTTATGTACAGTCTAGCGCACTGATTGAAGCTTTTGCTATTTTGTCACTCACGATAGATAAACAAATGAAGAAAGAATGCATGACTATCTATCTCAGTCCCTAAAAGCCTGAGAATATTTTCAAAGTATCTCCTGAATATATACATGATGTAATATTTTTGCTCGGTTCACTTCAAGTGTCTACCAGTTTGATTTGTTCACAAAAACTGCATCTTCCTTCAATCAGAAAACCACAGCTTCGGTCTGCGACTGCCCGGCGTATACAAAAAGTTTATTTCCAGGCGCATATTCTGCAACAGCAATTACTTGTCGGACAGCAATGGTTAACTTTTGTCCACGATTTAGCCGTTTCAGTCGAAGGAAGTGCGGTAGCCATCCCAAATCAGTGTTTTGATTTCGTTTTGGTAAAATCGTCAACACGTGAGCTATTGTTATCCTTTTAACTACCAATAGAGCTTATTGTACTCATGATTCATCATACCTCGATCTTCAACCCATGTAATAAGGTTGCGTATCATTCAGTTTTGCATGTAGCGGATTCGGAATTTGTCGGAGAAATTGCAGCTTTTGTCTCGTCGATCCTTCCATTAAAAACTCAAAAAAATACCTGTACGGGTAAGCAAAGGGACAAAGCTGGTTTGCCTAAGAAATATCCTTACTTTAGAGTCGTACTTTAGGAATGCAGCGAAAATTGGCCGTCAATTGTATTTTAGAGCAGAAGATCTCGTAGATCTAAGATTCTTTTTCTCGCACACGGAGTAGGTGCCATCGTCACTTATTCCCACGACACCTATTAGGCTGCCACCTTCACGACCTTTGTTGACTACAACGTAACCCTTTACTTTTCCTGGATGAGAGTGAGAGAGAGTAGAAAGCGAGGACTGTTGATAAACTAACGTTTTGTGCTAGAAAAATCCCACAATATGCTTCCTTTGACTTTCGCCTCATAATAATCGCCGGTCCAGCCTTTAAAGATGGGAAGTCTAGTGGTACCTGTATATGGGATAAGTTGATTCGTTTTGCCTTTTCGAAAAAGTCTTGTGACAGATACGAAGGCATTCTCTACTGCACGTAATGGGTAGGCGCTATTTCCACATACATACATTTCCTTCAGTTTTCCTTGTTTTCTAGTGCCATGAACCATTGAAATCAATATAATCTGCATGAAGATGAGAAGAAGGGGCGTTTTTTTCAAATGAGTGTAAAGCATAATGAGTGTTGCTTGGGTTGTTGGCCAATTAATTGCGTACTACATTGACTATTTATGCCAACGTCTTTGCCTCTCTCTCCACATGAAGTATCGCGATGTTTGTCTCTTGACAAATTCCTCTCGCAGCCATGGCCATGTCAATATTGGAGGACTGTTGTTTCTGATATCCATGATACCCCAGCCTCATCTTATCCACGTGTGGATCTTGTCGTTTACTACTCATGCTGTTTGTGGCAGGCTCCAATCGGTTGTGACACAGCTCTCGTTATCCTGAGTCTCATCTCTAGATTATCGTATTGTGCGAGGAGCCGGGTCCATGTAACACGTCCTTGACCATGAGGCAGGGCCTTGGTCGTTGGAACCGATGGCAGAATAAGTGCGAATAGCAGGCAAGTCACTAGCCCCATGCCGCCTCTCGGTGTAGTCAAACAAGGCAACGTTGAACGTGTACTTTTCATGAGAAATTTTTGTCAGTTACAGTCATAGAATGTACTCGGAAGCACGCGCCCTACAAAGCTATTGGATAGTTAGTAGTGACGAATGTGACACTTTAGTTAAGGTTGTTTCAAATTGAAATATCCGGTGACGAGTCATGACATCTCGGATAATTTCAAAGTTGAGTACGACATGTATGAGGAAAGAATTGAAGGGGTACGAAGAGATACGAAGGGAACAGGTTTGAATTCTACAAAACCATCATTTACTGGATGGTATATGATTTCTCCTACGAAAAATCGAGCATGGTAAATTGCATTTGCGGGTTACAATGCAGGCAAGGCGTGGGTGATTCTTCAGACCGTGTTACTGGGTTTTGACTAGCTTGGTTCTTTGAGTACAATGAGTAAGATCTATTTTTTATCAGTACCAGTTACTTTGATCGCGAAGAAAATGCACGTCTTGACCAGCAATCCGATTTTTTACCTTTCAGCGGTACCAGTACAATCATCATGGTGCTCTACATGTCTAACATAGCCAAGAAAAATCTTATCCAGATCGGAGAAAATAGCGAACACAATCATATCAACGGGAGGGTAAAGACTGGATATCTATCCGCGGTGTTCTCCGCAGACCTTGGAGTTGATTATTTCCTGAAAGCCAAGTTTGGCCAAAACTCAAAATGCTTCAGATATGGTGCACGAGGTAATGATTCAAGACTCCCAAATCAATCTCTCTCTTCCAAAGATATTAATCCCCACCGAAGCCTCATCAAGCGTTCAAGTACGACCTATTACAGCCTCATTTCAATGACAACACCTCTCATCCACTCTTTCTCTGGGCTCGGCTGGCCACCAAATACACGCTCACGCCGATAATCATGACCGCCGGAGGAAAAAAAGCGTGGCGCGCAAATCTAGGAGGCAGCTCTTTGGGATGGACGTGAGAGAGATCGGACAAGTCTACAAAATGATGCCAAGGAAGGATACAATCTCGACTGGCGTGAGATTTAGAGATTTGGCAAGGAGGTTTACAAATTAAAGAGCGTTGTGCGCTGCACTCCTTCGAGTACGGGGGTGAAGATGACACCAATAACACAAGCCAACGATTAAAGGTTCCGTAGTCGGCCTGCTGGTGGTGATCTTCAGTAAAGCCTGAGTAGCCCGAGCACTCACTCCACCCGGGAGAGAGAAGACGGAGATCACGTTTTGCGCGGAGACAAGTCGATGGATGATGGGGGCATGTCTGGACAACCGACGAAAACTTGAAACTTCGCCGTGAGGGTGTTCACGGATGAGGCCTGACTCGGGGCGAAGGAGAAGTCTCCACAAATTCGCAGTGGTGCTGCCAGCAAAGGCAAATGTTCCCCTTCCAGTAGTGCAGGTGTAATTGCTCAGAATGCTCAGTATATCTGGGATAGCCAAGAAAAAATCGCATTCGAATCGAAGTTGAAAGCCACCTCAAGCATTTCTAAAATCTATGACTTCTCGTCAGTGTCGGTCTTGTCATTCTTACGAGAGTCCTCTACCTTAACCTCTCCACACACCACCTCACCTCAAGGACCGATAAAGGCGTTACTCCAATTACAAACAGGAGCTTGCCTCATTAGTTGCCAACAATCACCCACTACAAATTTATGACGCTACGTATACCCACAAGGAGGAAATCAAGTCATAATAAACAAAGTTTGGGTCTTGGTTTATAAGGGAATGTTGCTCTAATAGGGTCATAAAAATTGAAGAAGTACAGTCGACTGGGGCGTGGGATAAGAGAGAGAATATATCTCCTGTGAGTATACTTGTACTGTCATCATCGAGGTGATTTTGACTTTAGAACGTTCGTCGGCGCCAAGACCAATATTTCGGCGAATTAGCCAGGAGAGCTCCTTGCGAATATACTTCTTTCTAAAAGTGTTCAAGCTAGTGGAATTAATCCTGCTCACAAAACCCGGCAGAGACCCCAGCACAGCCAAAATCTGGCGATCTATCACACTCTTCTCCTTAGGAAAAGGTCTCAAGAGGCTGTTGACAAAACGGATAGCAAAAACCGCTCTATCACAAAAGGCGGTGCCATGTCAGCTTTTTGGGGCGCTCCCTAGTAAATCTGCTAATGACCTCGTCGCATGCGTCTTCCACGACTTGGAATATGCAATGCACAGGATACAGAAAGCAGCCCTAATAATTCTAAACGTTTGAGGAACCTTTGACGACGTCCTCCACGTAAGACTCCTGCTAATAATGAGGAGAATGGACTGGCCGATAGCAGCCGTCGATTAAGTAAATCCTTTCTCCAAATATAATCCGGCCGAGCTCGATATAAAGATGGGATTGTAGAGCCAATCTCTCTCAAATTTGGGCTTCCACAAGGCTCGCCGCCGTCCCCTATCTTCATCCTTCTTTACATGGCTGAAGACGCGGGAGGGAGACAATGGAGATATGGCTATGCTGATGACGTCGTAATACTTGGAATTGGCTTAACTCGCTGCAGAGTGGCTACAGGCATCCAGTGAAAGTTCGATGCTAGATAGGCTTCTAAGAATGCCATATCTTCCAATACGGAATAAGCTGAAGTGGTCTACTTACTCGGTCCGAGAGCTAGAAGATTTATCCTGCCATCAATAGAAGTCAGAGTTTGGGATGTACGAGACTTAGACGAAACTCGGTGGCTCTCAGTCTACTTGGATTCTGGCCTGAATTCCGAAGGCCACTTTGCCAAAAGTGCCAGCAAAAGAATACGTCTGGTACAGCACATTAGAAGACTGACTAGGTGTATCCAAGACCCGATATTAGACCTACTAACCCCAGTCATCCGCAAAATAGCCCTCCCAGGCATAATGAAGGTGGCCAAAGCTTGTTAGCTAGGACTTACTAGGGAATTGTAAAAAGGTTTCGTCCAAAGCTTGATCGAAAAGCAATGCAAAGCTATTGATCAGGCCACTAAGGTTAGGACCCACGCCAACCACAGCTTTGAGGCGAGAAACTGGCATCCTACCGGCACATATTATCGTTTAAAAACGATGAATTCAATCCTCGGCGCATATTATCAGGCTAGACTGCAACCACCTGCTGCGTATCCGGGCGCCAGAGATGACCGAAAATGCCTGTCATCGCCTCGGGCTACTGATACGTGACATAAGTAGGCTTGGGTGTCACGGTTTCATTACAAAACATATGGGCAATTCTGTAGATACAATATACTAATAATTATTCAATGTAGAGAAAATTCTTACAGCAAAAGAATACCTATATGTACAATCTGAGGTATCTGCCTTCGAGAACGTTCTCTCTATGATTTCATTGACTCAGACTCTTCGCCAACTGCGCACAAGATTCTCGATACTCCTATCACCATCATGAACTTTCAGTATGTTTTCAGAAGGTTCACTGAGAGCTTTCTAAGCTCCGCATCATCTGGGATCTTCCCAGTAGGTTCCTCTGGTGTAATAGCCTGCGCTAGCTAGCGTATGCTATTGGAATCCTTAGGCTTAACAACCGTTACATTGGGATGGTCCGAATCTACAACTCCAAGGTGTAAAGGACCTTTCGACTCCTACCGGAATCGGAACCCCTACTCCCTCTGAAACCGCCTACACCCGAACGCCGACGGTTGTGCCAGACAAGTAGAGAAGAAGCGCGTAGAGCAACCTAATAGCGGCTAAGGTCATTACCACCCGACTATCTACGTATCTATAGCGACAATTCTACTTCATTCATCGACAGGGTATCATGGGAATTTATGACTATTACAGGGGGCATAGGTACTATAATTGATTAGAGTGACTCCGGCACAATTGCGAGTGCGGAGGCTCACGACGCAAGAATTCACTGGCTCTTCAAAAAAAGAAACTGTGACAAAAGAGCTCGTGCTAAATAAGTTCTCGACAATTCTGCGGCAGCTCAAGCGCTCATTACGGGGAAAAAAATATTATTTTCTTGGCGGGTGCAGAAGTTTAGAACAATAGTAGCCAATGGGTTCGCGCCAGTAATTGTAGGATGTATTCTAAATCATACAGGACCGGCGAGGAATGAAATGTCTGATCAGCCCACCCGCAGAGAGCTTAACTCGCTAGACAACTCCACGACCATAGTAGGCTAAATAACACTTGCGGTAATACAGCTCAAATCATGGGCACTACTGAAAGACTAGTAGGACTCAGACGGGCCGAAGCGATACGCAGACCTCAACCTTGAAGTGCGGCGCAAGAAGCTGCCAGGCTTTGCCCTCCCCAGAGCTGTCTTTGCTCGTCTTATTGCAGCTCGCAAAGAGTATGGCGGCTTTTCGGCATACCATCTGCGCTTTATTATGATTGATATATGATATGGGAATATACACTTGTGTTGGAACAGCTTGGATAGTTTATGGAGACATATCTTAATCGATATGCAGAAATGAGGTTACTATCATAGTTGTTATGTTACAGGTTGGGGGAAGCTCGTCCCTTATCCCCTAGCTTGTTAGCTTATAGACTGGTCACGTAACCAGTATGTAGCGCACCAAATTGTGCTCCCAACTGAGCAACTATGCCCTAGGTCCTATATCGACAATCCATCTCTCATGCTGCACATAGTACTACCTGTAATGCCGTTATGTAGAGACTGGATCTCTATGCGCCATTGTGCCATTATGCCATAACAACTACCTATGCACCTGCCACTAGATCTCCTATACTACATGGTTAAGCATAACATGCTTCAACCATATGACAGCTTCACTTCACTGCAAGTATGGCGGAGAAAAATTTTGGTCTCTTCGATCAGTGCAGAAAAGCAATGTCTCTATGGCGGTATAAAAGCAGAGGGCAGCAACGTTGGATACTCTGCTCAGATCAAAGGGCTGGCGACTGTTCGAGGAATATATCTAGGACAGCGGGATATATACAGTGGCAAGCCAAGGCAACGAGATGAAAGCAATGCTAGACATTTTGTGCGACAGAAGCCACTGGATATGGTAATCAAAATAAAATGCACGTGAGATGAGGCTCTGGTGCGTGTAGTGGTCAAGGCAGAAGGTTTGATGGGAGATGTTTAACCTTTAACTTTGGTAATGCGATATTTTCAGTGTAAATCCTCTTTGCTTTTACTCTGGGCTGCTGAACTCGGTATAATTCGAGACAAAGATGCGATTCGGCATGCTTCCGATCATTTAGGTGGGACGAGGTCTATCTATACTTCACGGTAGTTGACCTGATCCGGCTCGGCCCCACTCGTGCTTAAGCTCCAGTAGGAGTGCGGTGGGTGTCATGTACTGATTACGTGAATGAACAAACAAGAACGCCTCTAGGTAGCCACAAGTCTATAGCGTCCAGCTGGCTGGCCTCTTCCAACGCTTCGGAAGGGTTACTATGTCTTCGAACTTAGTACTAATATCAGCCTTAAAAGAGCCCGCACCCAGTGGTTTTGGCAAATTTTCCCGACTGCTTTACATCCGAAAATGGCCATCGTTTCGTTGGATAACAAATGAAGGACACGACTCCCTTCTTACTGTCAACAATGAGAGATCGACAAATGTTTGAGTAGCCATGATTCATTATGGATATCGTGTTTCAATAGTGCATGCAACCATCTAGCCATGATACAGTATTAGAGGTAAACTACAGAATATAAGACTCAATTTATAAATCTCCTGGCCAAATTTCCAGATATTTCGCCCGTCAAGATTGTACCCATCTTTCACATCATCTTATAAACTTGCTCCGGTTTCTCTCAAGCCCGTCCCATAGAGCTGCATTCCAGATTCGTGTGCTACGATCTGCATGCTCTGATGGGGATAAATATCTGCGTGGGCGTGTATTTGATGGCCAGCCGAGGTTTGAGAAAGCTGAAGAGAGGCGTGGACATTGGAATGAGGATGTACTAGGTCGTACATGTAAGCTTGATGAGGCTTTGGAGAGAATCGATCTCGTTGGGAGGAAAAGATCGATTTGGTGGAGAGTCTGGAATCAATAGCTCGCAGACCAGCTTCTTTGGTTTTGCGACATTTGACCGAACTTGGCTCTGAGGAAATATTCATCTCCAAGGTTCGTAGAGGGCACCTTGGGCAGGTGTTCAGTCTTTGTCCTTCTGAGCCACTATAATTTTCGCCTCTAATAAATTTGATCACCCCTATATTAATCCGGGATGGAATTAAGCTTTGAGTAAAAGAAGGGACTTTGCGCCATTAGCTGGTGAAACAAGTCGCTCATTTTCATATCTGCTCATCAAACCCAAATTTTCAACGTTTTAATATAGCGCACTTTTAGCATCAAACCGAAATCTCGTGTCTTCAACCCTCTTATTGTCTCTAGATTGATTTGCTTCATGCAGGAAATAGTTTTCAACGCCGTATTTCAGTTGTGCTTCTTGTCTCGCATATCAGGATTAAACAAATGCCAATTACCCTCAATGTAAAAGTCGGCTAGGTCAGAAATAGTTCAGTCAGATATTGAAGTCTATTGTGCTCGTAGAGAGCAGTGGTCACTCTTTTAATGGAACAGTCCAGATGGACTTTACTGTATAATGGTGTTGCAATGAAGGAAGTGATACGATTGCATTACAATATACTGTTCACATGCGCCGTAATGTGTAATTGACCCATATCATCACTCATGATTTTGAATGAGCGTTTCCCAGCAAAACCCTTGAGACATCTGTTAGCTCTGCCGTCTTCAATATCCTTCATCTGTCACGAGTAGCCAAAAGGCGGCATTCGATAGCAGTTAGACCGGTATAAAAGCATCATTGTAGTAGAGCTTAGAACATAGGATTCAATTAAATAATGACGGGGTAGTATGATCCATGACAGTATCGTTGAAGAAAACTGATAAAGACTATGTTTACGCACTTAGAGGCCTTGCGCTGTGCTACGGCCACTAGGAGCGGGACGGATGCCTAGTTCCGATAGAAGGTTGGAGCACCCTTACCGATGACAAATTGTGACGCTGTCACACATCCCTTAGTCAGACTAGTAAATATGGTGAAACGTCTGTTAGCCTGCAGGAGGTGCCTCATTTACGTCTTCAGAGGAACTCGATGTCTCGTAGCTAAAATAACTTTCAAATTTACCACCAATTTTTAGGAGGAAATATTTCGAAGAACAAATGTAAAAATTTGGCCAGTACCTTGTTTGTTAATTGTATAGGTATCGATCACTCTTCTCACTTTAGATTAATAACATATATCACTACGTTAATTCAGTCTGACATGCGCAGTGACGTCAACCCTTAAATATGAATCCCTTTGTCTTTAGTGATGCCATACTCTAGGTGATCCGGCAAAGTCTAGCCCCTAAGTTATCGCATAGCAGCATTCTCCAGCCAGTGAAATCTGGACGTGATTGAATCTATTTCATCGCAACCAACCTTGTGCGATCTCAATAAAATCGATGGAATTGATCCTGGTGATCAAATCTAAGAGTCTAACTCTTCACGTACACCGTTTCTAAATTTCCAACAGGTGATCACTTGTTGATCTAAAATTTAAACAATCTCCAAATTGTTCAAAAGCTTTGAAGTGCTCGGGAATATTCTCACGTTCGTGAATTGAATAGAGCCTTAAGTGTAGAACTTACAAATTAAATTTCTCCTAAAGCCATAGTAGTCTCGTTCCATTCCTTTATCTAAATGATACGTTATTCCAGCTCAGTATAGTCTTTCAATGGATGGTAGTGTGAAGAATGATTGAATTCTTATTTTTGACTTTTGGTGATGGCCAGTAAGTCCAAGGATATCATGGCCTGTCTAATTTTTAGTTACGGCCAAGAGACATGCATTATAGCCCGGGTAAGTTGATGATAGGTGTGATTATCGCAGATCAGCCAAGGACATTGTAAATAGAGTCGAAAGCTGTCATATTAAAGGGTCATGCGCGTGGTATGTATGTAAGTGTCTATCATATCTATAATAAACACTGCAAAATCCTAAAATCTATAATAATCTTAAGTATAGATATGGGTGCTTGGAATATGTTGTTATATATCGATACGAGAGCTACAATTTTAGTAGGTTGAAGATGATGAATTACTTGATGTGCGGTCAGTCAAGAAGATGGTATCAGATGAAATTGTAGTCTAATCAAGAATCAAAGGAAGCAGCATAGCGTGATTGCGTAAATTTCTGATGGTATAGCGATTATAGCCAGTGTAGGCATTGGCCTGGTCGTTATTGAGGGCGCCGGGAAAAACGGTTGGTCAATCGCCTCAAATATTGCCACTTTGGCCTCCTACCAAGCTTGCACTGGAAGTAAAAATTGCCACGGCTTCGTTCCACAACCGTAACGAATTGATTCTTTCTATCAATGAGAACCATTACTTCAAATTTTCCTAACTCTGAACTTTAGTAATGATAGCCAGAAATAATTGGGGAAAGCTCTGTACTCTTCCTGAATCCTTTATATGAGGTCGCTGGTTTGAGGACCTTGTAGTAAAACGGAGGGCTGAATTTCCTCATCATGTCAAATCTTGTGCCACGGTAGACTTTAATAAATTCTTCCCCGTCATCTAGTTTCTGCATTCTCTCATTCACAAGGGTTTGGGCGAATCTCTTCGCATTAGAGACGCGAAAGCTGCTGCTTTTGCACAAATAAAACTTGTGGGGGGATTCCACCCCATTAACAATCGAGATCAACACAAGCTGGAGGAAGAATAGAAGATTCATTCGAGTGTATAGGTGGTGTCGCATGATGAAAACTGCTTGGTTGGCGTATCGTTTTATGCGTGGCACGCCGAATATTCATCTCATTTCCTTCATCTAAATAATAGGGTAGAATTAAATTTAAGTCCCTACTAAGTCTTTGACTATGAAGGATTATTATCTAAAGAACACTGGGCCGATTATTAAGAAATACTTCCATTCGCCATAGGAAGGACAGAAGATTGGCGATTCGGCTGTGGGTAGTGCCTGATCTCTATTTTATTAAATCCCCATCACTTCATGAGTTATTCATGCTCTCTGACGCTATTGTATTCATCATGAGCACGGCAGGTTCCAACATTAAAGCCCACCCAACATGATCATATCGTGCAGAATACCAGGGCTGATCTAATTCAATGTTAGCTATGAATTGAGGGCCTGCATGTTGTAAATTGCGGACGAATTATGCGCGCGAGTCAAGTGTGCAGGTGGCCAATTGCGTTCATTATAATTTTAATATTTTCAAGAATGAATGAATGTTTATTTGTGACAGGCACATGCCCTGCACTCCAAGAGCATGACACGGAGAAGACTAGCTTCCCCATCGACAAATACGACGATAACTCAGTTTGACATTTGCACTACTCATGTAGTGGGTGCATTTGCTAGTACCACTAAAGATCTTTGTGCTAGGGACTCTCGCCCTTCCCTCAACCGTTAAAATCCTTCGAAAGGGTAATAGGAAAGCCCTTTGGCTATCCTGACATGCCTTTGCCATCTTGTATATAGCCACCGCGCGAGATATGGCCTCACAGTTCTCCCTTTTTCGAGTGAGGTAGGCGTCCAGGCTACTCAGACTTTAATTCGGGGACATGACGACTAGGAGGCGGACCAAAACACCTTCCATCGTTGCTTGTCTTTAGAGTGTCGGTTGCACTATCCGAAATTGTTGCTTCTGCATCCCCAGACAATCTTAAGTCGAAAACACTCGAAAGATGAGTCCCAGCGTGCCCATTTGTGACCTCTTCACTCGTTTGTCCCACGCCCCAGCTGCATGACCTCCCTCAAAGTGTGTAGCCCCATAGACCAAGGCCCGAGCTTTGTAGATTATTACTTAATTTCCTCCTTGCGGGTATTCATAGCATCGTTATTTTGTTGTGAGAGATGGCCAATTTTTATGAGGCAACTGACCGATTGCAATTTGAGTAGCGCCATTATCGGTATTTGAGGCGAGGTGGTGAAGTAAGATTGAAGTAGGAAATGCGTACGAGAAATATGGGTCCCACATTGAAGAGAAGTGTTATGGCCTGAGGCAGAATTACCAAACGGGATATCCGGCCAGCCAATATTAACTAAAGTGATAAATTACAAGGTCATCTCCAAGATTGATGCTTCGGAAAGAGCAATCTCGTGCTTAATGAAAGTATCTTTGCATAAATCAGTTATATAGGCTTTTGGGGATGATTAGAATTTAGGATACAGGAAGAATCCATATATTATTTCCCGGATTAGATATCTGAGGAGATTGACAATTCAACTCAGGCACCCTCATACGATGGATGGTTCAAGGATGAGCCGGAGATTGTATCATTGAATTGTTGTGATTATAAGGAGCGGAAGAAATTTCTCACCGAATTCATCAGCTTCACAATTTGTATTTTCCTCTTCTTTTGATCATAATCATCTTTGTTATCTTGCTACCACAATAATTTCTTCTCATTCTATGAATTCTGAACTCTAAACCTCTGTTGTGAACTTTGATAATCACCTTATACATATCAAAGACGGCAGATCCTACTCCTTGTGAATCGCGCCGTAACAAGAAGTCGTCAGTTTTAGAAATGCTTGAGGTTGCTTTCGACTTCGATTCGGAAACGATTCTTTTTAGCTATCCCAGATATGCTGAGCATACTGAGCGATTACACCGGAACCACTAGAAGGTCAAGAATTTGTCTTTGCCGGCTTAATTCTTTCAAGATTTAATCTTTAGTTCATTTTATTTGTTATGTCCATCCCATTCATAATCTTTTATTACGAATGCTCGTCGTGTTGCACGACTCGTTCCTCGTAGGTACATGCACAGTAACAGCTTATGTAGCTCATCTCGACTATGCTTATCCCAATATATTTTAGCCAAAGACTTTTATATTATCTTTGATGATCTGCCACCTTTACCATAAATACGTATTATTTTTGGCCCGAATAACACTGTTTTCATTTGTATTCATTTTTTGTCCTCTCTGACTATGTGGGACATGCAGAACACTTTGCTTGTTGCTTCCGTCGATAACATCAACTTCATCGCACCTCGCTCACTAGTTACAATTTTTCCCAGTGTCGCATCACATTAACCATCGCTCTGGCACTTTTCGATTGACCCTGCAAGCCAAAATATAAAGTGATTTATCACTATTATAGAGTAAATTAAGTTAATTGTTAACCAATCCCCCGCAGCTCTACGAGATAGTCAATGGTTAATTCATATGTTATCTATGCGAAAGGACTCCTGCAATATCTGCATCTGGAATCCCTTGATGTGACGGGCTTTACCCGGATTGGGACTGGTCAATACGACCACTCCGTCTCCGAATTTAGGCTGTGGTAGAGCTGCGCTCGGACATCACCGCATCAGCAGTTTAGTAGTAAAATCCATCGTTGCCCCTTGATTCTGTCGATGGACCCCGTGTTCGATTCACGGCTGATGCAGCTAGATGTAAGCCCTGAGCTTAAAAGGAGGGCAAGACTGCACACCTGTACGCGGTGTCCTCTACGAACCTGGGAGTGAAATTTTCTCCCAGGGCCAAGTTCAATCAAATTTCGCAATATCAAAGAAGTTGGCCCACGAGGCAATGATTCAAATTACTCCTCCATGTCAATCTTTCACTCCTAAAGAGTCCGATTCTCAACTAAGCTTCATCAAGTCTACAAGTACGACCTAGTACATCCTCACCCCAATAACCACAACTCTCTTCAAGCTTCTCTGGCCTCATTTGACCACCAAATACACGCCCACGCCGATATTTACACTCGACGGAGGAAGCAAAGCGTGGCGCAAAAATCTGGGAGACAGCTCTTTGGGATGGACGTGAGAGGGATCAGGACAAGTTTACAAGATGATGCAAAGGATGGATGTAACCTGGAAGGGCGTGAAATATCAAATTTTGGCAAGGAGTTTTACGAATTCAGCTTTGTGCGCGCCAAGACTTCGCTTGCGAGAGTGCAGTTGACACTATAAAAACAAGCAAACGATGGAAGGTGTTGTGGTCCGCCTCCTGGTGATGTTCTCTGGTATGGTTTGAGTAGCCTGGGCACCTACTCCACTTGGGAAGGAGACATCTCAGATTACATTTCGCGCGGAGAAAAGTTGATGGATGACGGAGGTATGTCTGGATAACTCAGGGTTTTTGAGATGTTCCCCTGGGTGGGCATTCACTGATGAGGGCTGACTTGGGGTGAAGAAAAAGCTACCATCACTTCGCAGTGGTACTTGCAAATGAAATCCGAGGCATGAGTGCTCTTCTTGTAAATTGAGTCATCCTTTCTGTACTTTTCTTTGATATTGTGTCATAGCTAGATAGCTGCATACGCAATTAAAATCTGATGCAAAAAAAAAAAAAAAAAGAGCAACGCTCACGGAAATGTGAATGGGGCGCTAAGGAGGTATCAAGGGTGGCACGTACCAAATGGGAAGTATGGTACAGGAGAATTGATGAGCCGGGGAAAAAGGATGATTCTCAGGTGGCCAAGTTGGGGAGTTAAGACTAGTCTATACAGAGCATATAACGGATGGGAGAGTACGTGGTACATTGTCCACCAAGGAAGAAGTTTCTAATTCCTATCGAGTTATTGTCTTTCAAGGATATCTGAATTCATTAAACCCTTACCCTTGACTATCAGTCCTCTTGTTTGATCGCATTGTCTCCGAAGCACTCTCCATACTAATACCGGCCGCGCCGGTACGATTGATTGTGTAATCTGTGATAGAAATTCCGGCGGACAAGATGCAATTTGTAGTTAACACACCGGGGTTGGCCATGTAAGTAACATAGATTCTACCAGAAAGCTGCGCGGCACTCCACGACGCCAATCCCATCAATTTGACATCGTGATACGAGTTTCTAATTTTCCATCACCTCACTTCCTTCGAAACATTCTCTGTGCATCCAAATTGCGGATGTGAAAGCCGATTGTGTGAATTCGGCCGGTCACAACGCATCGCAAAATGCGAAATGCGAAGTTCGCATAAGAGCCTCAGGACAATGGAGTCAAATCTGTCACGGGGCGAGAAATTTTACGAGAGAGAGAGATTATGGGACAAGATATCAACAAGAAATCTAAGATAGGATGTGGACAAGATGCAAAAATCTAACAAAACGTCCCACACCTTCTAAAGACGTGAACGAGCCGGCAAAGTCGAATTCTTCTCCTTCCAGTAGTGCAGGTGTAATCGTTCAGTATGCTCTGCATGTCTGGGATAGCCAAGAAAAAATCGCATCCGAATCGAAGTTGAAAGCCACCTCAAGTATTTCTAAAATCTATGACTTCTCGTCAGTGTCGGTCTTGTCATTCTTACGAGAGTCCTCTACCTTAACCTCTCCACACACCACCTCACCTCAAGGACCGATAAAGGCGTTACTCCAATTACAAACAGGAGCTTGCCTCATTAGTTACCGACAATAATCCACTACAAGTTTACGATGCTACGTATACCCACAAGGAGGAAATCAAGTCATAATAAACAAAGTTTGGGTCTTGGTTTATAAGGGACTGTTGCTCTAATAGGATTATACATTTTGAGGAAAGATAGGTGACAAGGTCGCGGAAAGATGTAAGGAAGAGACCTCTTGTGGGAACAGTAGGTCTGATGTTTTCGACCTTGGAATTTTTGTGGGCGCCAAAAACGAGATGTTGGCTCATTAGCCAGGAGGCCTTCTATTTTCAATGAGTCAAAGGCACTCTCCAGAGCCCTGAACGGCACAAAAGAAGCTAGGCTAAGCTACTATACAGCAATCACACTCTGTCAAGACTTTTCTGACATTTCAGCACGA